TATATTTATATTATTCAATATTTTGAAAATTGTAAGTTGTTCCGCCAATGTCATTGGTATCCTCAAATAATGGTGAGTTTATTTTTAGAAAGCTGACTTCGCAATATGTGACTTTACAATCACATCTCTAAGACAAAGTGCAATAGACTTCTCTACGCCTTTCATGTCATTGGGTATAGGGATTCTGTACAAAACTCCCAGTAAACAGCCACCAGAAATGTTTTCTTTCATGGCAGTATTTTCCAAAGAAGTAAGTGAACTGTTTTATCATTATCATCAACACTATACGTCCCAACCGAGGATCAGAGCCTACCCTACGTTAAGGGTGATTAGGCCATATTCAACCACACGGGGCAAGTGCGGGCTAGTAGACTTCATACATATCTTTGAATTTCTTCTCAGATATGTGCAGGTTGCATCACGATGTTTTCCTTCACCGTAAGAACGTCGGATAAATGAACATATGTAAATCGGAAATCGAAAAACACATCGGTACATGGCGGGATACGAACCCAGGGCCTGCAAATTGCAAGTCAAGTACTTGACCCCTGAGCCACCAATGCTCTTAATAGACGAATAAGAACTGTTTTTACTTCATCAAAATGTTCTGCTTATCTTCTACTAATGCAATTAGCATTAGTAGAAGATCACTCGTTTATAATTTTTAAACCAATCTTGGCTCAATATCATTACAGGTATGGTACTATATGGTGTTAGTGCAACTTGGCCTTGGAGTAATCATGATATTTGTCGGGCGTATTTCGCACAAAGAATGGCAGAATCCTGTTCCCTGCATAGAACAACCTGAAGAACTGAGCAATCAGTTCAGTTTTGCTAATTCTGTTTGGCTTATTATTGGTTCAGTTATGCAACAAGGCTCTGAAATTGCTCCGATGTGAGTATTCATTTGTTTTTAAATTTTTGATTAAGTGCGAGAGTAATTTTTTTTTAATTTGTCTGGTCGAAATTTCAAAATTTAATTGCTTTAATATAGGATCTGTTTGTTTTAGAGCCTTAGCCCCACGTTTAATTACAAGTGTGTGGTGGTTTTTTACTATGGTCATAGTCGCTTCATACGTGGGAACCCTGGTAGCTTTTCTTACGGTTGAAAAAAATGTTTTACCATTCGAAACTTTGGAAGAACTTTACAAGCAAAAATCAATTTCGTATGGAGCCAAGAGTAAAGGATCGACTTTAGGTTTCTTCCAGGTTGTATTCTTTTTTTTAATTTAGCTATTTTTTTATTATGCGATGTTAAAATTGTGTTTTCATTTGTGTTTTTAGCATTCGCCAAATCCCATACTTGCGGGTATGTACAAAAAGATGGTCGATAACCATTGGCTGGTAGCTACTAATGATATCGGTGTGGCAAAGTAAGTCAATCTATTTCCTACTGTAGTTGCCACCATTAGAACCGTTTAATACATAAGCAGATCATGGATGTATATTTCCCTAAATGAAGCTTAAAACACACTAAGCAACTCTTAAGTGTTGCAGTGATTACTTTTTGTTTTCAACATTTTCTTAAACATTTGATGATTAACTAAAATATTGATAAATGTTTCTAGATGTGAAAATGAAACTTATGCATTTTTTATGGAATCTACATCATTAGAGTACTACAAAGAAAGACATTGCGACTTACTTCAAGTGGGTGACTCGTTTGATTCAAAAAGTTATGGCATTGGAATGAAGAAAGGTAAGATTATTCTTTTTTTATTTATTTATTCTTAAAAATGTCCTTTGTAACTAGTATTGAATCCAGGTTCTCCATACAAGAAATACATTGACTACGGTTTACTGAAATTAAAAGAATCGGGAGAAATACAGAAATTGAAAAATATATGGTGGAAAGAGAAACGTGGCGGAGGAAAATGTGGGGTAAGATTTTTGATAAATTCAAAACTAGCTGTCGCTTGCGACGCTTAAGCCTATTTGTTAAGTCAAGCTATGTTCTACATCTGTGCCTTTAGCGAGATCTATTCAGCAGTTTGGAGATACCTTCTAACAAACATCCATTCATCCAAACATTTGAATTTATAATTTTAGTAAGATTACTACTATACGTATAATTTCTACGTCTGCTATCTTAAACAGTACTAAATTTATCCGATTGTCCAATTCAATCCAAACTACACTTCTTAATACATTCAATTCATGTTTCTAAAACTTGAGTTACAATCAAATCAGAAAGTTTTTTACGACTTTTTACTTACATTGATTAGAACAGCAAGTTCAGATCCTTTGAGCCAGTTTTATAACATTTTTATTTTATTCGTCAGCAAGATATCACCTGTGCATTAAATTTGATCATCCAACTTTTGTATGTAAATATTCAAAATTGAGTTTCGAACACTCATTACTTGAACATTGCCAGTGACTATTGTTTGCGTAGGTTGAAACTGTTTAAAAACAAAACTGTTTGTCCTAAGAAAGTAATTTTCACTTAAAGGAATTTTAAAATTGTATTTATGACAGTGCTTTCTCGTTACATTATTACTTAAAGCAAAATTGTACGTACAGCGTGTCCTAAAATTCAACAATAAAACGGTAATTGTGTATAGCCAGCTCGATAACTTCACCGGGAAAAATACTAAAAAAAATCCATCTCTTTTTGTTTAAATGTTACATTAACTTTTGTAACTTTTCTTATAATTTGATACCCTCCACCATATGATCAGACACTGTGGCTACAAATATGAAGATATTCCTGCAATTTTTTTTTGTATTAGCTACCTAAGTAACATAGCTATTAATTGAAGGTAAAAATTGAACCAAGACATTCGTAAATTAAGCACAAAAAATAATTAACTTTGACTGTTTTTTTGAAATTATAGAACATTTTAACTTTTGACCAACTTTGACATGCTACTGTGTAAAAAATGTATGAAGAGTACCATGGCACTGAATTAAAAAAGTACGCGCAACTCATCAAGATTCTAAAATGCTACAACACTATGATAAAAACTGCGAAAATTCTCTAAAAAAAAAAAAAATCATAGTTTTTAGGAATTTTATTAAGTGTTCAAAACCCTGAAAATTTTAGTTCAAATTTTAGGACAACGCTGTATACAGCGTGTCCTAAAATTCAACGATAAAACGGTAATTGTGTATAGCCAGATCGATAACTAGATAATTCTGTTGTAAGATAATACAGAGGACAGTTTTCATTGCCGGAATGCTTTTATAAATAATGTAATCTTATGAGTTTATTATTAATTTAAATTAAAATAATTTACAGATAAAACGGGATGAAGAACAAAAGCAACTCGGTTTGAAAAATATGTTAGGCGCCTTCGTTGTGTTGGGTGTTGGCTGTTTAATCGGACTTTCTATATCTGTTATTGATATGCTGTGGGGCGTATTTAAACGTACCGTTAAATATAATGTAAGTACAAAATTGAAAATTAAACTTTACTCTCTTATACTAGCTCTTAATAAAGCTCCAGCTCCATGGTGTAATTATCCGTAAGTATTCCATTGAATAGTTCCAGCAAAAAAGATCATTGATGATAAACAACAACAATTTTATTTTTTTAATACCAAGTTCTATAAGATTTGAGATGTTATAATCGCACGATTACAGCACAGATTAATTCCAATGTAAAAACTTTAACTTCTTGTTAATTTATACTAAATACAATTTTGGTGTTCGTATTTAGGTACTTCCTCTCTGGAATAAACTAAACCTCGTTTAAAGTAGTTGTGTTATTCATAAAATATGTTATTTTTTCAGACAACATTCAAATTTGAGCTGATAGAAGAATTGAAGTTTGCATTAAAGTTCAGTGGAGACATAAAACCTGTGAAGCGTCACCAGAAATCACAAGACAGTTCTGATTCTATAGCGGAGGCTGAGGCCAAGGATGAAATCAAATCATTACGCTCTATTAAATCTGGCAGGTCTACGGACACTAATAGAACACACCACTCGCATAGTTCCAAACACTCTGGTCTTAGTATGGCTTTTGCTAAACGACGTGAATACAGCTGATATTGGAGACAAGCAGCTGGTCGTTAAATCTTAAATGTTCACTCGCCCTATAATACCAGAGGAACTACTGAGATATAGGCGACGGGAACTTATTCTTGATTTTATTTTAAATAAAAAAGCAAAACAGATATTTGTTCTGACTGGTTGACTAGATAAGTAGACGTTAATCGGTTTTATTATGTTTACTTATTTACACGTCCTTTTGTATAATTGTATAAGAAATAAACTTGACTTTCATGAGATTACTATGATCACTTTTTATTATAATATGATAATTAATTTTAAAAACCAAAATTTATAGAGCATATGTAAATAACGGCGAAGGATAAAACAGCATTATTGTAGAATTTTGTTGGATAATAATACTTAATATTGTTTAAGCTTTCAATGGTTTGTTTAATCTAGTATCTTACTAACTAGTTGAAAGTATATAAAAACTAGATAATAGACTAAATAATAAACAAGTGATATATGAGGGCTTTATTTCAATGTCTGCTCGAAATGGACACCGACCTTTGCGACCACAATCTTTCTCCGCGAGCCCATTAGCTATATAAATTGCACGACAAAATTCACAGCAAGGGTATGATTTACATCTAAAACAAATTCATTAAAAAGAGTATTTTAATATGATACTCCGTAGTACAGCGGTAATAGTATCTAGCTGTCAAACACTGATTCTGATACGGTTCTATTTATAGCTAAGGAAAAGATTTTTAGTGTGACTGGAATTGGAATGAGTTATTTTTAATGGTATTATAGCTATAAGTTTTCAAAACTACTTTAAAAATAAATTATATATCTACAAAAATTGGACGTTTATGTTATAAAGGAAACTCTTTTTTTTAAATAGTATTAACGTTAATAGACAGCAGGACATATACCAAGGATATCACTTTGCTAATTTGGTGACGCAATATATGTGCACATTGCATAACACATTAAGAATAGGTAAATGAAAAACGTTTTGTTATTTTAAATATTTTTTTATTTATGTGTAGTGAACTAAATAATTGTGACTTCCTGTCATAATAGGCGATCTTATACAGACCAATTTGGTGTCATGTATAAAGCAAAATAGGTGGTGCTAGAATTCATTACTAATTATTTATAATTTTCAATTTGCTAAGTAAACTTTCTCATTCTTGCTATTTGTATAGCGTTACTTTGACGTCTGCTGTGAGCATTATGATTCGAATGTGAAGATCTTTCAGAACGCGGGGTTGGTGCATGGTCAGGTCTGATATCTTCTCCGGTAAATTCCACATCACCACTTTTATCATCATCATCCTTTTTAGAACTCTTAGATCCCGTCGACTCCCGATGTCGCACCGGCTTAGTATCCCCACTGAAGCTCAATATGAATTTCAATTCAGCAATAAGTTCCTCTCTGAATGGAACCTTGAAAATAATTGTATCACATTAAATACTGAATGTATTCTAATTTTATATAAAAAATCTAAGATATATTTTACCTTATGAGTATGTGATATCATCCAGACATCAAATATCATTTCAATAAAAGCGCAAACAACCGCTAAAGCAGATCCCGCGACTAGTACAATGAACACACCACCGACATTAGCTAACACCAGCGGCTGGGCATCACCACTGCTTGCATCGTCATCCTTTTTATAAAAAACATTCCAAGTTTTTATAATTATCAAGTCAAGTTTGATTAGTTGAAGTTAGTGGCTAGTTCTACCAACCGGACTAAACCACGTGACGTATTTGACGTAAGGTGTTTTACTATGCAGAATTTGTGATGGTGGTTGAGATTATGCTTTAGAAATAAATTATAAAGCTCTTACCGCACAGGCGCCACCACCTCTTTTCTCCTTCCACCACTTATCTTTCATCCTTGCCAACTTGCCTTCTTCTTGTAATTGTAAAATCGATTCACTCATTGGTTGTCTGTAAGGTGAATCTAAAAGAAAAATGTTCCAATATAGTTTAATTCATTATTACTTCAGTAAATAGATGTTCCGATATACATACTTTTTTTCATAGCGATGCCGTATCCCTTGTTATCTAGCAAGCCTCCAACTTGCGCTACATCACAATTTCTTTCGACCATGTATTCAATCGAAGTTGATTCCATCAAAAACGCATAATTCTCTTTCTCAGATTTTACCCTGAAAAATCATTATTCATCATTATAAGCTCACTATATGCCCCCACCGAAGGGCTCGGAGCCTACCCTAAATTTCAGGGGTGACCACGCTAACCCAGTGCGGGTTGGTTGACTTCACACAAGTCTTTGAATTTATTTTTAGACATGTCCAGGTTTCCTTCACCGCAAGAACGTCGGATGAATGTAAATCGAAAAGCACTATGGTACATGGCGGAATTCGAACCCAGGACTTGCAGATTGCAAGTCAAGTCCGTAAACCTTGAGCCACCGATGCTCTCAAAGATGAATGATGCATAAACTATTGGTGTTATTTTACGAACTACAATATTGTTTCTGCTCTCCTTACTTTTAAAATAATTCGAGATTTAGTTAACAAAATAACTCTTTAGTAATTATAATAGACATACCTTAATAGTCCTTCATCGTTTGTTGATGTCATAAGTTCAGGATGTTCATCCATATAGTGATACATTTTTTGATACAGCAAATTATCTGATTCCTAAAATTGACAATTTTACAGACTCATTCATGACTTTAAAGGAATTATCTTTATCAATTTTATTTCTTACTTTGAAAAAACTGAAAGTAGCACCACCCTTTTTTGCTCCGTATGTAATGCCATAAGGATTGCTCGCTAAATCTGATACAGATTTTATAGCGTAGAATTTAGATTCGACCGTCAAAAATGCTGCTAAATTAGCAGTATATGATGACACCATGATTAGTGTAAAGAACCACCACATACTTCCCGCCATTCTTGTAGATACTGCGCTAGAATTTAATTTAGACTAAGTTCACAATTTTGTTACACAAGTACATGATATCTTTATATATATAATTCTTCTGTGAGTGTGTATGTCACTGAACTTCTCTCAAACGACTGGACCGATTTTGATGAAATTTTTTGTGTGTGTTCAAGGGGATCTGGGAATGGTTTTTAGATTCACAATTTTGTCCGCTGGACAATGTTTTTTTAATTAATTTTTAATTTATTAGTAGTTGTTGATTTTGGAATGTTTTACATTGGATCCGACAGACGGCGCTACCATCGCAGTGTCAAATTTTCAAATTAAAGACGTGTAGACAGGACAACGTCTGTCGGGTCCGCTAGTATTATTTATAAAAATGTCATTTACATGGGAGCAATTTCAGATCCCTGTGTGAGTACACTGCCTAATGTAAACCAGAAAGCATTAGCTAATGTAAATTGATTGTCTAATGTTTCTGGTTCTTCTATACAAGGGTAAGGATTTTGCCATTCTTCCGGAGCAAATCTTCCTAAAATGAATAAAAGGACGGACACTCCAACATAAGCTCCAGCCAACCAACCCCAAACCTGAAACATTAGGTTATTTAAATATATACATCAATTTAGAAAATAATTTAATTTAAAAAAATAACAAACCTCTAGAGAAAAAGGAGAAATAAACGAAAAAAGATCTGGTGGTTGTTTAGTTGGCTTTTTATACAAAATTGTAATACCAAGATTCATAAATGGGCTTGTAAAATCTACTACTTTTTGCCTCGCGGCAGTTATCGTTAGGTCTGTGATAGCGAAGTCAGCTCTCTGTAATGTAAATATTTCAACCGTCAAATAAAATCCTGCTCCTTTTTTATAATATATTCAGTGTAGTAATCACATATTTATAATATATTGATAATTTACACCGTCCATAATTTTTTCCATCATGCCAGTCCATTTTTTCGTTTTGCTGTCATATGATCCATATACACCATCAGCTTGGATGTCAAAAGTGTAATTGAATTCGTTCATTTTAGCTAACTCCTCTATGACTTCTATTCCAAAACCTTCGTAGCGATTATTTCCTTCCAGCTTATTTGATGATTCTCTGAGCATTCCATACGGTGCACTCTGAATTTGATGAAAATGTAATTTTAAAACATTAAATTAATTCTACTGTTTGTATATTATTACAATATAGTGGTTATCAACGAAATTAAAGTCATTAAACTTAAAGATGGAAATATTTCAAAACGAAAATAGTAGTAAAAATTTAAATCCTCACCAAGGCTGTAAGTATAATGAAATGTTTGCCTTTCATTGAATCGCTTCCTTCCTCTTCAACAGGTGGTATAACAGTCCTCGTATCTTCATATCCATCTTCAGCATTCCAAGTACCTACCTAAGTTTGAAAAGGAGTATTTAATATAACTAACTGATTTGATCAATATAAATAAAAATTGTCTTAATTCACCTTTTCGAACCCATGAGACATAACTTCGAGGACATCAACTTCAAAGTCAGATCGTAAACCATCTTCGTCAAATTTTATAACACCTGTCATTCCATCGATTTCCATCTGATTATAAGTAAAATATTTATTACCTTTTAATAATTGTAAATTATAAGATAATTTTGTCCTACTTACAGTTCTCACGAAATTTATAATACTTGATCCAAAATTCCACGTCTCCTGATCTTCGCATGTAATGTTTGCACCTTCCTCAAGTCCCATAGTTTTCAAAGCAGTAGTATATAAAGACACTGCATCGTATACTAATGCTAAGTTAAAACTAAGTGCTGATTCCGGAACAGCATTTTGAATTTTACCCTCCGATAAATCTATAACTTGTTCATTTAGCGATTTTATAAAATTCTGAATGTTTTCTGAACTTTGATCAAAAAATCTCACACCTAGAAGATAAACAATATCAATGAAGGAATATGAAAAAAAATTATGTTGAAAAAGATTTCGTTAGTATTTATGGAAACTGCGATTGGAGTAAGATATAGGAATCATGGAAAAATAGAGAGATATTTTGCAACTCAAATTCACAAGTAACAAAATATATGCAAAAGGTGTATCTGGTATTTAACTGTCTGGACTTCAGTTACTTTCCTTATATATCAAGGAGTGCTGCATATATGTCCGTAATTTTCATTTCAATTTCATCATCATCAGCTCACTATACGTCCCCACTGAGTGGCACTGAGCCTACCCTAAGTTAGGGGTGACTGGGCCATAGTCAACCACGCTGTCCAAGTACGGGTAGGTTGACTACACACATATCTTTGAATTTCTTCTCAGATATGTGCAGGTTGTATCACGATGTTTCCCTTAATCGTAAGAACGTCGGATAAATGTACATCAGTAAATCGGAAATCGAAAAACACATTGGTACATGACGATTCGAACCTGCAGATTACAAGTCAAGTGTTGAAACCCCTGAGCCACCGACGATCTCTGAGCCACCGACGCTTTCAATTTAATTAAAATAAAATTCGCCCGGCAGTAATACAAGGACTTAAAACAAGATTACCTGTAATGTTAGAGCCTCCGTGTTTGAATAATTCAATATCAATTGAATGGAAATCAGGATTCATTATTACGTAGCTATGTTTGTCCGACATAATTCCAACTTGCTGAGCTTGTAAAAGGATTTCAGATAGATTTTCTTGTCCACTGATTACTAAGTAGTTAACTGAACCAGACATTTTTATGTTCTTTAATTGGCTTCTGAAAATAAATAAATTCAACATAAAATTTAGATATCCAGAAACATTTTCAAGCATCCTTAGTATATTCTACCGCAATTTTATCACATCTTATCATTAATTTTGTAATTCGTTTAAAACAATCATATAAACTTTGATTATTACCTGTAATCGTCGCCTTCCGGTAATTGTACTACTGTCATTAGGATATTTTCATCCGTTACTAAATTCTGCATAGTTAAAATGTTGTTCAAAAACGGTAAAAGTTCAGCACCTTCGTAAATTATAGTAAAATCTGTCCAACCTTTCATTTTGATAATATCAGCAAAAACCTAGAAATTAAACTAGTATTGTGATTAACGAAGCATCAAATACTTATACTGAGATGTTATACGTACCTGAGAATATGCTATGTGATTTGGGTATAAATTTATGGCAGACCAGTTCCGATTTTGTGCCTCTATGAACTCTGTAATAATTTGCGGCAACTCCAAGTAATCGGCTATAGACTGTATATGTTGTAATGAAGTTCTATGAATAGGTCCAAACACACCAAACACGTTGCTCTGACAACAAAAGGAATGTTAGCTTAAAATACTTTTTCTAAATTTTTCGCTATAGCACAGTTTTTATCTTGGATAACCTTACCTCTAGAAGTGAACATACTGCAGTTTCTGCTTCAACAACATCATCAGGTGAAATTCTTATGACATTTGATATGAATGGATTCTCCTGATTTTCTGACGCCGCTTCTATAGCTACGTTGAAAGCAGCCTCATATAAAAAACTACCATCATCGAATACCGCTCCTGTCAATTTATAATTTTAAGAATTAATTTGATCATTGTAATATATTGCTTTATTAACATTAATGATCCATTACTCACCAATAGTTCTATCAGCCAATGCATGTTGCAGTAAGAAAATAAACAAACTGAAAACACTTTCTTTTATAAGATGCATCTGTATGCATTCTATTTACATATAATTATATATATAAAGTATGTAACACTATCAGAGTATCTGATCTGCGTAGTTGCAGACGAAGAAACTAACAGACAATAATTTTAGAACTTGTTCTTCATTTGCAACATAATCGTGTCACACATTCGTACTTGGCATGAACTACAAATAGGCAAAGTGCCCTAAATCTCATTAGATGCACTTTTGTTTAAGAGGTTAATTCCAAAAAGACTTCTTCAAAAGTAGGATCCTTGATTACACTGTTAAGATTTATCTTTTATATCTAAGATTCAATATTGTTTCTACCTGGAATATGGATATTAGAACGTTTATAATTGCTTGCATTGACCTTCAATTTAAACGTAATTTTATATTAAGAACAGTGCCATCTTTCGAACGATTCCTTAACTAAAATAGAATTCGCAAAAGTCTTTCCTCTCCAATTTCTTTAACAACCATGGAAGATAACCAGATGGCAGGATTATACAAAGCATTATGCTTTAAAACATTTTTTATTATTTATTAACGACTAAAGTTTAAAGGATCACGATTGTTTAAACTGTCAAACATTACACAGGTCAAATTCATGCTCGACTTTTAGTGATTCATTATTAAGAAACCTGACATAAGTATCTGATAGTGATAACACGAAGAAAATAGAAAACTCGATAAGCGAGAAAATATCTGAAAAATTAACTTTCACGAGCGTCGGTGGCTCAGTGGTCAAGCACTTGACTTGCCATCTGCAAGTCCTGGGTTTGAGTGCCGCCATGTACCAATGTGTTTTTCGATTTCCGATTTACATATGTACATTTATCCGACGTTCTTACGGTGAAGGAAAACATCGTGATGCAACCTGCACATGTCTGAGAAGAAATTCAAATATATGTGTGAAGTCAACCAACCCACACTTGGCCAGTGTGGTTGACTATGGCCTAATCACCCTTAACTTAGGGTAGGCTCCGAGCCCCTCGGTGGGGACGTATAGTGAGCTGATGATGATGAAGAGATTTGTATTGTTGGACTAAAGATAAACTGAGCATCCTAGAACTATTGTAATATATTCATTGATTTTATTACCACTCACGGATAGGAATTCGAGGAACTTCTTTAATTACGCCCACGCTTCGGAATTCTACCACTTCGCAATACGTGAACAATTTAATAAGAAAATAATTCTCATATACGTATTTAAAATAGAATGGTGAGTCAAATGGTATAAAGTAATCGTAGTAAAAACCAAGCAACAACTCTAAATTTATTATAAACGACCTGGATTATTATAAATTATATCCTTGGAATTATGTTAATGTTTCTTAATGTGGTAACGAGCATTTTCATATATTATTCATGGTTAGAGAAATGTTGATACCTTTATGAGTCATTTTCTTTCTTTCTTTGTAGATAACATGATGCGTGGAACAATTCTCTGATACGAAGCTTATCAAGCAAATGTAGGTGCTCCTTTATAATTACGAAACAAGATTTTATTTTCATTTTATAATGAACAGTAAAGATATAAAACAATTGAAAACTAAAATTACTTCTATTCTTCGGTTGAGTAATTTATTTATACTTTTAGAAGTCTACCTTAAAAACTAGTATAAAGTCTTTTTAATCGACTTTAGTTTGGTAAGTCGTTACATTGTCTGAAAATGACTTTGCCAAAGCTTTCAGACGATGTTAATAATTTAACTACAGTCCTGAAATTCACAAATCTTCCTTAATTAATGAAGGTATTATCGCTGTCTACAGCCTTTCACAAAGATTTACATATTTTACAGCTTACTCTGTTTTATAACTAGCTGTCGCCCCCGATTCCGTCCGTGCTTTAAAAAAAAACATAATTAGTAGCCTATGTGTTCTTCTAGAGTATGTTCTGATATGGATGCCAAAAATCATCAAGATCCGAACCGCCCTTTTGGAGATACCTTCAATAAAAAACATCCATCTAAACATTCCCATTTATAATATTAGTAATTTTTTTTTTAATTTATGAACACTAAAATTTACTCAAAAAATGTAATGTTTTCAGAAATCATGACATTGTGTTTTTTTCTTTTAATTTCGTCCCTTTTTACGAATACATGTGATATATATTGTTGTTGTTTAGGGTTATCCTCGTGTCATAGAAAACTCGGGCCATAAAAAAAGGGTTTACGATGTGAATCTTTTGCATACAAACTGGGAATACATGCTAATACGTAAGCTGATCGCTTAAAACTTTACGGCTGTTTGGAATACATAGAAGGCATTATTGTACATTGAATTTGCATCGTATTGGGTATTAAAAAGTTTTAGTGGAAGCTCATTGGTCGAAATTCTATCACAATTAATAGTTATTTTGTTTAAGCTTTATGCACATTTGGAGCTAGGTGACAAACAAACTCAGAACGTAAAACTGTTAGTAGTGGAACTTAGGTTACGTTTAAAAATAGTAAACAGTCAAACTTAAGTTCCAAAGGTCGATTTCTGCATATGACAATATGCAGTGCAAGCAGACACTCTTGATGAGGCAAACAATGTCACCGCAAAGGGACCCCCAGACTTTTAAAGTGTCTGGGAGGTGTGCCCCATCAAAAGTATCTATCTGCTTGCAGGGGTTATTGTGATAGTATCCTAAGTATGATGTATAAGAATCAAGCATCAAAAAATAAAGTTCAGTCATATTTTTACCATTTTTGAAGTGTCTGTCTTCGAAAACGGCCTCAGAATGTGTCTGGCAGTATTTAATTCGACATTGTTACGATTTCCTTCCACGCGTGTGTGAAAATCAGCTTTGTTAATATAAGTAACGATAGACATGTTTATTTCAAACTTCAGCGTGTTACTTATGCCCATTCGAACTATACGTCTACTAAGTAATCGTATAACAATTAAGCTTGTTGTGTGTGTTACTGTATGTAAAGTATGCCGGCTCTTGGCTCTCGGTCCATATAAAAAAAATTCCACCCTTTGAATGTATTGGTAACCAAAGTACATAATAATTTCGGTAGGATAATAAGTAAGTAGAATTTAAATAAATATTATTTGGTAATTTATGCAGAAATAAGAATATTTATTGTACAGACAAAACCATTTTCTCAAGATATTAGATTCTAAATGTTATGTAAATTAAATTAATATTGGATTCGACCTCTCGTTTATTTTTCGATCTAAAAGTAATTTGAAATCTAGAAAACTGCCAATACTAAATATGAAATTATTCAGGACTAGTGATCCGCCCCGGCTTTACTTGATATACGATTACTGCCGAATTAACGATACGCTTTACTTAATTACAAACACTTAAACAATAGTCTAAAAACAAATAGAAGAAAACCAATAATACAACAGAAAAAAAAACCAAAGAAAATTGCATTTTACTACCGTCAGATTAAGTTTAAGTGCTTTTGCAGTTGAGACCATTAAAATTCTGTAAATAATGCAATATTGAGAAAAATTCAACAGTTCCTTTTTCTATGTATTAATTTATTAACTTTTGTTTATTTCGCAATAAATTAATTAGCAACGGCTGAACTCACGTACAATCGTCAGATGACGGCACCGATTTATTTCGGACCTGTCGGGAGTCCATATTTATCAACTTGAAAAGAGCTCGACTTTATAAATTGAAAATCATAAATCGTAAGTCGAACAATGGATACTTCAACGACGGCAACTTATTCCAAATCTTTGCTTCACGCATGCCCTGTGGTTCAAAAACCCTTTTCAGCAGCCCAATTTGTGACATCAGTCACGTCATCAAATTCAGGTCTCGAATATGAATAGGAATTTAAACCCGTTCGTGAGAGACTTTATCAAGGACGTGATAAAATTTCATGAAGAGTAGACAAGCTTATAGAAACCCTTTTATATTTCATTACATTCATCTATATCTATACTAATTTTTAAACAAATTTGTATTTTTGTATGTAACCAATAAACTTAAAAACTACTTTTCTAAATATACAAGAAAAAGTTAATTCCGCGCGGTCGAAACCGCACGCAATAGCTAGTCACTCATATTGTTCGTAATAAGTATTCTACACGAATTTCTCTTTAGAGGTATTACAGATTAGGTTTTCACATTATTTGTGTTATTGAATTCAGTATATTCAATTACGAGACTGATTAAAAAAATCACATTTTTTTCTCAAACTTACCGTGACGTAACGTGTCGTAGACATTGTAGACATAGACGTAGACGTAGACTTGGAATTTTCGTAGGTCATTGAATTTACACTTGAATTTTTATACCTTTTCATAAGAAGTGTTTACGTATTAAATTCTTCTTCGTATGATTACCATAAGATCGAATCGATCTATTTCTTATAGATAAATTTGAGGTCGACTTGACATTTATCTTTTGGAAGTAAGCCAGCGCACAATTGGTACTCGAATAACCTTAAAAGTTTAGTGCCCTCGTGCATTGCTATAGAAACTTTCGTCCATTTTACTTCCCCAAGATATGTTAATAACAAAGTTTTGTTCAATATTATTCGAAATAAGACCAAAGAACTGTATATTCACCGATTACATAAAAGATGTGAAAATAAACAGATATATCCGGTAATTATTTGGAAGTTTCAATGTTACTAATATTATAAATGCGAATGTTTAGATGGATGGATGTTTGTTACTACGTATCTCCAGAACCACCTAACGAAACTCGTTGAGATTTGGCATACAGATAGGACATAGTCTGGAGGAAGACATAGAGTACTAACTGAGAAGTTTTTTTTAATTCCGCGCGGACGGAGTTCTGGCCGACAGCTAGTTCTATACAACTATTGGGGATAAAAAGAAAAATTGCTTCGTTAAAACGAAAAAAGGATTAAAAACAAAGAAGTTTATATAAGGTAAGTATTAAGATAACTTGAACGTAATATACTAACATAAGATAAAAGTAACAATAAAATTTGCACAGGAATTACAGTGGGCCTGAATATAGACAATTTGCTAGATACAACAACGACCACTTGTATCCCTTTCTGTTTAAATGAGGCTCAATATTCTTTATATCCTCACAAAATATTATTTTAATGAAGTAATGGATTTTATTTGTTACTTCCAGGATTATTGATACTTTTATTGGTATAAATTAAAAA